ATATTTTAATAGTAATTTAATAACGCCAATAACATCATATTTTTTAATTAATTTGCGCCATCATTCATAAATAAAATCACATCACACTCATTACTCATTTACTCGCATTCTTTTCTCATTGAAGAACTCTCTATTTTATAGTCGCCTTTGTAAATTCATGTTGGTACCCCTATTTAAATATGTGATACATTAATAATATAGGTAAGTTCACATTTTGGGTATCACGATGGAATCGAATGATAATTGTCAATTTGAAAGCGGTTTCGTTTCTATTAGTTTACTTAAATTCAAAATATCTTCAAAAACGTAATACTGTTTTTATTCAGTAAACAAGCAAAAAATACCTTCAATAATTGTATAAAATCTATAAACAGAAGAAAAAAATCAATAAGCAATTTACGATTTAATGCATTTTTCATTTCCAATAGTCTATACTGTCAATGATATTAAAATCTAATATTATAGCATATTAATTATTATAAATTAAAAATAATGATTATTTATCATAATTTATTTGTTTTGTTGGAACATTAGTTAAAAAATAAAATTATTTGCTATTAAATTTATATATATATATATATGTATATATATATTATTTTTAACGAATAGAGGTATGTATTAAATATTAATATATTATGACATTATACTATTTTGATGAGTATTGGCTAGAGGTATTTAATGCCAAACTAGTTTGTTCTATCCAGTCCAGTGAGGAAATGGGATAATGTCTTCCATGATATTAGGTAGAAAATCCAATTGGTGATGGCTTTATTTAGATTTTATGGTTCATTGTAATTATAATAAATTTTCATGAGCCGTAAAATGTAACCTTTTTTAAAGTGTATAACTATAATATTGATGATGCTATTGTTTCAATTTGTATTATTATACTATTTATATTTTATACTATTGCGCGTATGTGAGTTGGTTGTTAATGAATTTGTTTACGTTCTATATATTAAACTCGGAATTAACATACCTAAATAGTTAAATTATTATTAATAATTCCTTGACTTTTATAAGTGAATTTAGTATTTATGATTTGAGTGATTTGAATTACAATATGCAGATTTTATGTTATAATAATATAATTAGTGAATATGGTTTTGAGTACCAAGACTACTCTCAGTAACAATATGAACTTAGCTAATCGAAATGCGTAGATTTTAATTAAAAAGATCTCAAAATGTAAAAAATACAAAACACAGAAAACTTAGAAAAGTTAAAAGTTATAAAACAATATATGTTTGAAGCTATTGTTTTTCTTTTAATTTTTGTCAAGTGTTCTTCCTTAATGATCAACCCCCTTCGTTGTTTTGAAATAATAATACTTCATTTTACCGCCATCCTGGACGGTATTCAGCCATTCTTTCGAATCTTGTACATTTTATATAGCTACTCTATTATACAAGAGGCTAATTAGAAATTATATAATTATACTTAGCCATATAGGTCTCCTAAACACCTTAAACCTACCTGACGTATTTGTTCTTTTATCGTATATACATTATTAAGCACTACATATTTTGTGAATGTATTCTTATTTCTTAAATGTATGATCCGTATTGTCTACATTAACTATTGTTTTTTTTTTTGTTAATCATATTTCGTAATTAACAATTCGCTCATATAGTTGCATAGCTTATATTTACATCAAATTATAATTACCTAATTAAAAATGTATTACATTAATTAAGACATTAGGGTTAAATTAAAAAGCAAATGAAAAAAATATTTGAATTTAAATATGAGTTTATCTTACTTGAAATTGAATTTTCAAATAAAATGGTACAAATTGAAAAATAAGATAGTACATAATATGATTGTTACTGATATAGATAAGTATAATAATGTATATTTTATATAAAAGAAAATTTTTTTATTCTTCTCAAAATAATTTAAAATTATTAATAATTGTTTGTTTACTTAATGCGTATTATTTTGTTACTACTTATTAATATATACATTGTAACAAGTAGATACTTAGAAATAATTAAACTTTATATTAACTTATTTCAAAAACTTATCAAAAAATAATTAAAAATTGTCTTTAAATATTTTTAATAACGTACTATGCTGTTTCTATTATTTTTATAACTATAATAATATAATAAATAAATAAAATAGGTTTTTTAAATGTTTTAGATATAACATATTTACTTTGTTATTAACATATCAAATTCCTATTTAGTTTTAATAATGTTAGTAAGTTGGTTGACTGCTTAAGTTTTTCAAAATTAATTTTAGTTTGATGTCCTTTCACATTTCATCATTATGTAATTAATTGTTAAATGACTGTTTATAATAAATCACAAGTAGGTACACTATATTATGAATTATTAAAATGCATGAGAATAAAAAATAAATTTTAGTAATCCAACAAAATATTTTTTAACTCATTAAGTGGAAAAACCCCTTCGTGTGTGATAGGTTTCAATTAAATTTGCGATTTTAATTTGAATAGTGGCCTTTGCCCCTTGTTAGTATTGTTTTCACAAGCTATTCAGTCCCCTTATTAGAGCTATTATAATAATAAAATATAGGGGGATAATAGGATATATTATAATACGTTAGTCTTAATATGAACTAAAATACTTTATATTAACAGTGATTTAACAAAATTTCAAATCAAATGAGCTTACATGATAAATTACATATATAGGTATATAGTTTCAAAATCAAAACTTAAATTTAAATTAAAGCTATATTATTATTATAACATAGTAAGGTAACTCAGATAATACTGATATATTATTTAGTATTTCGTATTCAAATTTATCGTTTATTTTTTAATATTTCTACAGTTAGTTACAATGTATTATTACGTCAATGATAAATGAGTAACTATTAAGTCCTTGTAACTTATTTTGACACAGTTTTCTAATAAAATAAAATTACAGCTAGACAAACATAGATTATAAGTTGGAATTTCCAACATATGATGTGATATCATTGAAAGCCTAGTAAGTTAGCTTAAAAGCTAATAACGTTTTACATTTAGCACGATTTCTTGAAGTGTTTTTTTTAAGCTTTCAATATCGTGATAAGGTGTACACTTCTTAATCTTAGGCATTCAAAAAAGGAGTATTTAAGAAAAGAAATCATTAAAATTTTTTAACAAGACGTACCTCTAGTTTTCTACATATTATGATTTATGAATAACTACAACAAAGTATCTATAGGTATAATAATTGTTCTATTCAAAATCACATCAACAATACTTCTCTCTTACAATGCATACGCCTTTATGATATTGTCCAACCCAATCGAAGTAAAAGGGTAGATGTTTTTTTAGTTAAAATAATAAATCTATACATTATGCATATTCCTCAAACATTTAGATTTATATAATTCGATGCTGGTAGCTAATAGCTATGTATTAGTATATAATTAGTTTAAATAATTTACTTTATAGGTATTTCAGTGGCATAGCCAGAGAGGGGCTAAGGGGGCTTTAGCTCTCTCCCCCGAAAAAAATCATGGTTACGCCATTGAGGTAGTTAATACCTATATATTATTATTATTATTGATATTCATTATTAATATATTATTCTGTAGATACCCAAAGTGATTCACCTAGTATAGATACTCACCCACATTTTTTTCTTTTAATAATGAATTTATTTAAGTTCTGATTTTTAGAATTTTTAAAAATATTTATGTACTCATTGTAAGTTTCACGGCACTTAAACTCAACTAAATAATCTTAGTGAATCGTTTTTGGTTGTTGTTACAACCAAAAAGTACCAATTTATTAATTATTAAGTAATGGCTAGGATAATTCGCATTTAAACCCTTGCTATCATTACAGATATTATTAAAAGTTATCATAATTATTCATAATTCCTTTATAAGTTCTTTTTTAGGTACTTACTTGTAATCATTATTTCTATAAATTGAGATGAGTATGCAATAGACTATATAGGAGTGTTATAAATAATATAATATATTAATATATTATTATATCGATCCTCAAAAATATATATATTCATAGCAGTCATAGCATTTTACAATAAATAATAAATAGTTATAATATTTGATATGTTTATTAATTTAAAATGTTTAATTACCAGAATGTGGTTTATTGGTATATTAGTTATTTGTAAACAATAACGAGCGTGGTTCAATTCAAAAATACACATTATTCAAATTAAAAATAATGATATCGATGGCCTAATAAAACATGAAAATAATGTAATAAAGTAATTTTTTTCGACAGGCTCGCCTCATGCGTAGCCTATGTGTCATGTTGGTATAAGTCAACTAACATCGGGTAAAAGTTTACGCAAAAATGACAATTTAATATAATTTCGTCAATGAATAAGATATTGGATCAAAGTCACTACATGGTATTATATAAATTAATTAACTTAAAGATTTTTGTCTTGTTTGCTTTTATTACACAACAATAAAAAAAATCATATTTAAGTATATAATTATAGTTCACCCCTAAATTATTAACATTGATGTATGAAAACTCAACATTTTAATAAATTATAAGAAAAAGTCTACAAAAATATAAGAGGAAAATTTAAAACCTATTAAAATAAACGAAATATTAAAAATAATGATAGTAATAATGGAATAACAGTCTTTGAAAGTATGAAAATGTATTAAGTTACTAAAATGAAAATACTAATATAAATATTCTGATATATATTCAAGTTAACCCATTTATAGGCTAGAATCATTATAATAATATATGTTATATTCTTACTCGAATATTACAAATTTTGTCGACAGATCGTATAAGTCTATACTTAATACGATTTTTATCCTATTAAAATGTATTATTATATTGTTAAAGCGTTTTTCAAACTATTAGCAAGATCATTATACGAGCGCAGGGCACGTGGGTAGCACGAAATGCCCAATGGGATTGGCGACTGTGGCTGCGCGCATCCGCCCTCCTTCCAAAACCACCCCAAATGGTTGGCCACGCGGAGGGTGGTTGGGGGCGCGCGCGCCTGCCACCGGTCCCTTCAGTCTGGCAGCGCCGACACACCATGTGTCATTCAGTAGTCGCGAATGTGAGAGAAGGTCCACACCATCGATCACGGTGGAAATCTTATGCCAAACATTTAAAGTTACGATCACATAGACGTAGTGATCGTCGCCGAAGTCATCAAAAGTGTTAATATATACATACATCAATAAAAATTGTTATAATTTAATATTATATAATATGGATACCACCAAATCGGCCAGGAACGTGTACAGCATCGATCAAATTCTCGGAACTACTCATCCGTCCAAAAACGGTAAGACAATATTATTGATTTTTTTTCGTAAATTTTTATTTTTTTGTATGAAAATATGAATTTGTTTCTAACAAACTGTTTATTTATTTATTACGTTTTATAATTAGTATAAGTAAATTACACAATCAAAACTAACGTAATAAACGTGGATCGTTCTATTTATCAATAGTATTGTACGATTAATAATTATATTGAATCTTTTTCACCAAAAGGATAATAACGCGATATGGGTGAAACAAATATACATATTTTTTTAGAATATTTTAGTAGAATCACTAGAATGTATAATATTTCACCTACAGTTGTAGCTTAGTTAAAAATGTAAATAATGTAAACCATTTTTTTTTTTTATTATTAAAATACGTTACAATTAGTTTGAAATAAATAATAAATAACGTTGATAAAGATAATGTAGTAAAATGTTAATAATTGACGTAAAATTATTTAACGTTCAGAATCTTTTTGTAAAATGGATACAAATTTCACATAACATATTACACAATATGAATAAATTTTCACGAAAAATTCCTAAAGAATTCGTTTTTAAATCATAACAAAATAGAGATAATAAATGTACTATATTTTAAAAAATAGAAATGCATTTAACATTTAAACTAAAGTTAATAAAAGAAAAAAAATAGTTAACACTATTTAACAATTAAGGTCAATTAAAATTTAACTTAAATTCATTTATAGGAAATAATACATTCTAGTAAATTGTTGAGTAAATAAATATAAAATTTAAATTATTAATAAAAAAATTTAAAATTTAATAAGAAAACAGCAGATAATAAAACAAAACATAATAACATGGCAAAACAATGACACCCAACTAATTAAGAACACAAATTATTAAAATAAAAAGGTAGGTAAGTGGGTACCACTCTGCCGTACATTAGTTGTTGAGTGGGTGTATTCAATTTGAATTCAATGATAATATATTATTGTATACAAAAAACAATTCTGAATGAAAACAGTCTGTCAGCCTATAATATCTTATATCACCAAGTATATTTTGTGATATTAATATTTTGATTTATTATAGCCATTTATTTTATTTTTAGTGTTATATAGTAGGTAAATATAACTTTATTTTAGGGTTAATATAATATTTAATTATTATGATAATATACATTTACAATGTACTATAGAAATGCATAAAACTCCAAATTTTATTTTATTTTTCTGTGATTACCGTAAAACAACAAAAATAGATTTATAATATAAATAACTATTATCTTAAAATAAATGAAAAATGTCATTACATATTGTAAAATTCATAATGATGTGATACACATAAGTTTTAAATTCTCATGAATAATGTTTTTAAATTATAATAAAATAATTAACATTGTTTTCAATTGCTTAAATAAGTAATTACATCCAAATTTGAACTTACAATATCTATAAAAAAAAAAAAAAAATTGCCTTTTTAAGTATTTTAGATTTTATAGTTTCAGTATGATCCTTTTATAAATAATCTTTTATTACAATTTCAAAATTGAGTTATGAAAAAAAAAAAAAAAATATATGAGATTCTAACTACAAAATAGTTTGCAATTTTTAAAATCTTGCCAAAATTCTAACTTTTAATTAATACAAAAAAAAAAAAAAATTTACCAATGTAATTTTAATATTTTTATACGGATATGAGAAAAACTTAGGTAGAATCTTGTATTAACTTTTCAAGAATTTTGATACAACGAGTAACACGTGATTAATTTATTAATCATACTAAACTTAAGTAAATAAAAAATCTAGTAGGTCTATAAATAACTCAAAATGAGTTTATTTAAAAAATATTATTATATAATGAAAATGATAATATAAATTTTTTGTGAAAATTTCAAGTATCTATGATTATAAGGTTATTACTGTTATAAGTTTTTGAATAACAATAAAAAAACAAAAATCATTTGATAAAAACAGTTATTAGATACCTATATATCCTGATGAATATCCAATAATGTTAAAATTTGAATTTAAAATGCTCATTAAAATTTAATTTTGCTTTCCAGTTATTTTTATAAATATATATATATAAGTTGAAAAACACTTTTAAGTACAAACTAGATTCAATATTTTATCCAAAATCACTCTCAAAGTTGAAAATCGACATTTTAAAAGGTGATGATAGACACAAAAAAAAAAACATTCATCATGGTTGAAAAAATATTACATTTATCACTCCACTCATCAAAATCTAAATGGTGAAAATCCTTAAAAGATTGTTATAATAGGCATGGTTCTAAATAAATACAAATATTTGATATAATATAATACATAATAAAATAATATACCTTTATTGTGTTCGTTGTACACTATTATTAATTACCCATCAATAAATATATAATATATATCTACTTAAAAAATAATAATGATTGAGTATCAATTTATTTTTATCTTTTTTTAAAAACCGTCTGAGCTAAGAGTCATTATATTATAATTATTATTCAGTTATAATACTATTGTTTTTAATAAAAATCAATAATTTTTCGAAGAGCGCTTCAATTAAATTAAACACAAACAATTTTAATTTTAAATGGATTAGAACAATAAAATACTTAATGTCTTGATGATCGTTTTCAAAGTAGTAAGTTTAAAATACAAATATGATAATATTATTATATATTAATTAATTATAGGTATATATTATGCTAATTATAAATGAGAAAGTTAACATTAACTAAAAACTAAATTAAAATGTATTCAATTTGGATATAAATTTTCTTTTTGACATCAAAACTTTTTTAGATTTACAATTATTAGTAATGTAATGTTAAAAACATTAAAACAATTTTAACAGGTACATACACACACACACACACACACACACATACACATGCATGAGTATACATATGTATATATCATTTTATACTAAATTTATAATTTTAATTTTAATTTTTAAGATAAATAAACAAAAATATGATATTAATCAACTCCTGAATTGTTTACTTCATACCCAAATACTTATTGATATTGGATATTTGGTTATAGAATTTTGAGAGATATAACCATCTTTCCAAAGTAATTTCTTATAAATTTAAATGTTTAGAATTTTATGACTTTTTTCCTATTACAATTTGTTAATTTGTTATTATAAATCATTAATTCTATGATACCGAGTAAATTGGCAGTCATCTTAGTATCTAATGGTTAGTAATTTTTTTTTTTTTACTTTTTTAGTGTTTGATTGTATTAGTAACATATAATTTTACGATGTATTTACCTCGGAAAAACTGTGAGAATCATAATAAACATCTTATATTATCTATTTATCTATCATAATAAAGATCTATGAAATTAAAAACTAAAGCTGAGCATTGACGAATTAAGTTGAAATGAGTTATCAATATCTTGTAACTTATATTCAAGCTTGCCATTTGCCCATTTTTTCCAATTTTAAAGGCATGTTTCTATAATTCAGTTTGTCCCATTTAATCGTAGCTGAGAGAAAGTAAAATTTAATATATTATTTAACAATAAAACATAGAATAATATTATACTCTGTATCATTATATCATTCTCAATTGTACTAAAATATTAAACAACTATAAAAGATCAATGGTACTAATCCGATATAATAATATGCGTAAATGCTTAGTTAGTATTTTTAGCCTATGTACTTACTAGCTAATAGGTACCACGTCAAATTATTGGAAATAAATAACAATACACTTACAAACTAACAATAGGTACATGTGCTTATACCGACTTTTGATTCATAAAAACATCTCCTATGTATATGATATATTTTCCGTGAAATCGTAACAAAATAAATAAGTAATAGGTACTTGTAGCAGTTTCAAGTTTTACTCGGTATTAGATGATATTTAATTTGAACAACAATAATTTATATGTTTTGCATATTCTGCATTATGTTAAATATCTATTTATGCACGAAAAACTCGATCATAGGGTGGTGGAGGGTCATCTGAACGGTAGCGGTGGTGATGGCGACCGGTAGAAAATCCGAAAGGGACGGCGGGAAACTCAATGGATTTTAACGGAAGTCAAGTGAACATACACCCTAGTGCGCGCGTGAGCGCGTATGAGTGTGCCGTGCACGCCGACTACAACAATGGGTGTAAAACGGACGTACATTTCGTATCTGTTGCACGCACATTAAAATTTCGTATTGCAGTTGAGTTCGTAGATTTGGCGTGTAAATAATATAATAATAATATAATATTGTATATTATCATGTATTATATTATATGGGTTTATGAAACGTGTACGAGCTGAATAGATATTATATATATATATCCACATACACGAGTGATATGAAAACCGATCGTTTCGTAAGCCGATTACTATTACATATATTATACACACTATAGGTGGGGGCGAGGGATGCATTATACAATCAACGCGCAAGCGGCTTATAATATGACCGTTTTATACATGATTAATATTATGAACCTATACAACGTGTGTTTTACAAGCCACCGTTACCGTTCCGAGCGGGTCTTACAGCCTTTTATTCGTAATTAGGTATAATAGGTACCTATATACCTGCAGTATGTACATGGCGCTTTAATGGGGTGCGTTAAAGTGAAATCATTATAATAACATAACCCAGTAATAATAAATAAAAAAAAACAAATTTCTCTCATCGTTTCTCGGAAAATGCTACACACTATGTGATACAATATGATGTACATATATTTTATAATAAAATATTCTAATATGGTGATACTTTTTTGAACTACACGACTGCGTATGATTTTACTTGATTTGTAACTAGACGATTATATTGTGTGGTTGCCAATTTTCATACCAGTATACCATACGAGTATACGACTACATGAGTAAACTAAAAATAATTTATCAATACTTTCTGTTTTTTTCATAACCATTAAACTTTAATTACTTACGTTTATTGCTAATGATATCAGATGTATGATGCCAAATACATTGGACATACCGAAATATCGTTATTTCCAATATATAGAGTGTTTTCTGACTTTTAGTTCGTCATTGATTGTTACACGTGTGTAATGTTTAGTAATTAGAAATATGCAAAATAAAATAAAACTTATAGAATCCGAAAAAGGAAAGCCGTTAATTCTTTTAAATAATAATAAATATAGGCATGTAAGAACACGTAAAGACGGAACGCATAAATGGCTTTATACAATAAAAATGTGTTATGTAAGCATAGTTGCTGACACTCATAAAACTTCGGTTGTAAGTATTATTGGTGAGTATAAACATGAGCCAAATTTTGATGTAAAAATAGGACGACAAATATTTTTATTTACTTATTAATTATTTTACTATTATTTAATTATTCTCATTAGGTATATTTCATAATTTTATATTGATTGTTAAAAAAGTAAACATGTTTTACTAGATATTTATTAGATTTATGGTAAAATTAATAAATTTGACAAATTTGCTACAATTTTATACGCAATCGTGTTTATTTTTTTCACTTGAAGTCTTAAAGGTATTTGTTTACCCATCTACAAACATACGCAATCGTATTCGACTACCCAATTAAATTAGAAAAAAATTTCAAAATAATTTACCAAAAGCTTAATTTTTGCATAGTTACACTTTATACTCGTATGATGCGGTGATACCTTCTTCTTCTTTTTCTTTAAGAAATATATGCTTGGATTCATGATGCCCACACTGTGCAGTGTATAACCTATCAAAGTGAAAATAATGTTAGTACAATAAATAATAATAAGAATAATATAATATTAAAGTTACTCTCATAATTAAAATATTTTTTTGTTTTTAACCTATGCCAAATTACACAAATTAATGTTAATATTAAAGTAATGACTCAATAAAAGATCTGATGACGTTTTTTGCGTTTTCACGAGTACAAAAATTATGACTAACTTAATATTTATTTAAATTTCAATGGATAATATTATTTAATTATAATATATACTTAATAGTACAAACATTAAAACAATAATATAGTACAATTAATACTTAAAATATAAAGAATTATATTTACATAATTTTTAGAGGATTTAATAGAATTTAATTTAGACATCACAGAAAACTATAATAGTTTTAAAATGGTTAAAATATTAATGGTTAATTTTAAAATATGTTACAACCGACTTAATGATAGCATACATTTTTAACCAATACTTTTCATAAAAATTTTTGCAGTTTTTTTTTACTAAGAAAGACAATTTACAATCTGTACATAATAATTACAATAAACAAAATTTGTGCGGTTATAATCAAAACAATATTTGTTTTAAGTAAAAAAATATCTTCATTAAATGAGATATAGGTATTTAATATGAATATCATACGGCTTTTATAGGGAAGAGACCATCCTTTTTTCTACCCTGTATAAAAGTTAAGTAGGTACTTGATGACTATAACATTTTTCTCTCCAGTTATTTTAACGCCCTTTATTTCCGTCACCAAACACCTCCATAAAAATACATTTTTTATTGTTTTATCTCATACGTATACCTAACTACAAATTTCGAACACCCTTTTTAAACTAAATAATTGTTTTACAAACTTTTTATTTATATAAAATTAACGTAAATCAAACCTGCCGTCAACTACAATATGATTACGAGTTTGCTATTTATATTATGTATGTAGTTGATAATTTTATTGCAAGTCTCAATGGTTTATGTTCCTAAGTATTAATGGTATTACTTCCTAAGTAAATAGAGAAACATATATTGATTTTACAATATTTTTTTTTAATGCCATTTTTAGAATAATCTCAACTTAACCCAATACTTAATTAAATAGTTTCTTTCTCTTATCAAAATTTCACTATATTAATGGTAGGACTTTAAGTGGATTATTTAAGAAATGTCTCTTATCACATTTTTTTATAAAAAGAAGATAGGTATATGGTAAAATAATTAAATATAATATAATGTATGACATTCCCTTAACAATTAAACCGTGAATTTTGTAGTTGGTGATTTATAAAATAATACACTACTAGACATTTAAATAATAATCAGAATTTTAGATATACAGATTGAAACTACAGTAATTACAGTATATTCATATGTATTATGCCATCGATATTTAAGTTAGAGGATGGGTTCATAATACTTAATTCATGTCCCCAGTCTATAATTTTCTATTTTAAACATTAATATGTCTTATATCTGGAGGTCAAGAATAAATTTTGTTTAAAAAAAATACAACTTTTTTAGTTTCTTTATAGAAACATATTATTTCGCGAGGTGAAAACTAAATGTATTTTCAAATACACATTCGAATATTTCCTGTTAAATATTTACACAATATTAAACACAAAATAATATTTCATACTTTTCCTATCATAATTCATTACTTAAAATAATTTGTTGATAAAAATAAAAAGTATTAAAATTAAGACATAGGTACGATTAGTAATATGTTTTATAGTTTACTATAAGACATATTAATGATTTTGTGATTTTACCAAAAGGAAGAAATTAAAATGTTCTAGGTATACTCTAAATTATATTTGTTTTTATACATTCACAGCCAAAATTATTTGATAATTCTTTTTAGAAAATTCGAGTGTTCATTGTCAATCTAAATTGGACGCATTATATGCAGCTAGTGGGAACGATCCATCCCTACATCGGTCCGACGAACACGATGATGATAAACCGCGAAAAGTTCGTCGTAGCAGAACAACATTTACAACATATCAATTACATCAATTAGAAAGAGCTTTTGAGAAAACTCAATATCCTGATGTATTTACTAGAGAAGAACTCGCCTTACGATTGGATCTAAGTGAAGCCAGAGTGCAGGTAAAATTGTTCAAACCATTAAATTTTATAATTTTTTTTTAATTACGAATGTATGTGTCGGTACGACGGTACCTATATTAAAAACAAATAAATAAAATAAAGATAATTGTTTGTTATCGCTCCATCAACGCATCATATAAAATTTATCACCTCACTATCAGGTAATTGAATGTTGAACTAAGCTATTTTTTATACAACGCTAACAAATTTAAAATAATGATCAATTTTTTTTAAATTTATAGTAGCACATAGTTAGCAGATAATATTTTATAATGACATTAAAATAAATAAGACAGCTTTCTAAAGATCATTAAGTTATTATAAATGTCACACATTTTATTTGTTTTAACGATAATTTTTGCTGTAACAATTGAATACCAGTATTAAATATTTTAGGAGATAACACATTCAAATTCATTTTTATAATATTTTAGAATAGGTTAATAATATTGTAAGATACAATAATTATTTAGCCATAGCATAATGACATGATCGAAATATAATAAAATACAATTTAAAATTTTATAAGAAATATCTTATCATCATTCTATAATTATATCATATAAGTACTATAGATTAATCTACATGTAAGATAATACAGAGATACAAAGAAATATTGATCATGAATATCAAAACTTGGGATTTAAGATTGAAGAGTGTTGACGTAAGGTCATTGGAGTGTATTTTTAGGTGGATTGAATATTTTCTTTCGGGGCCACCGTGATCATAGTGATTTGTTTGAAAATTATCCTGAAAAATATTCTATTGTCAATTAAGGTAATTTTCGTGAACTTTTACATTACCAAATCAATTCTGGGGATTCAATTCTTGAATTTCATTTAAAAACTATACATTCTTAAGTTACTTATATAAGTATTATAACCCCTGTTTTCAAAATGAACTAATTGATTGTTGTAGAACAATTATAACAGAAATCATTAGAAAAAAATAAAAATTCTTTTTCTCTATTATTGATGAAACTACTGACATTAGTCATTCATCTCAAATGAGTTTAGTTTTTTAATACATACATAAAGAAGTTGCAAAATAAAATTTTATTGCGTTTGTTGATCGTTAGGCATATGCTTACAATAAAGATACACTAATAAAAACAACTTTAGAACCAATATTATTAAATGGTGACATTTTGATTGAAACAGTAATTTCATTATAAATATTACCGAGTGGGAGTTGAAGCAGACGGTTGTTCAGTAATAGTACCGTTATAGTGTGAAAAGCTGTGCTAAAAATTCAGTTATTTACCAAAAATATTATTCATTGTCCATGTGTAAATCCTTCATTAAATCTCTCTGTATCAAAATTATCTCCTGTTTAAAGCATTAGGATCTATGTAGAATTAATGAAAGAAATAATAGAGTTTTCAATTTTTTATTCAAAAGAAATTTCGTCTAAAAAAACGCCTTGAATAATCAGTCTTGCTTACAAAGTTTTTGTAAGACTCGTTGGATAGAACGCCATAACAGTGTTATGTTACTTAAAAAATCTATACCCTAATATAATTAATGTTTTTACAATAATTTTTGAATGGAATGAAATTGTATCTTATTATATAAATTTAAAAGTTTATTAACAACCTTTTTATGCATTTGTTAATTTATTATCGCATTTCAATATTTGTCAAATATTTTTAAACAAATAAAAATTTTGTAAATTGGTAAAAATTAAGAATTTAAGTTTATGAAAAAAAAAAAATTATTCGTTATTAACGATATATTTATGTATTATGTATAATATATTATTAGGTACATATATTATGTAATAATTTAACTATGCTTTTGTACAAATTTATTAGTGCGATAAATAGTAAAAATTTAAAGTTATAGTTAGGAAACAAATAAACTTATACATATTGTTATTAATTAGGCTTTTAACCACCTACGTGTATTTTTTTCCCTATTTCAATTAAAGATAAAATAAATTGTTTTTAACGGTTCAATGACTAGATATCATTTATAAATACATAGCGCGTTTATAATTATTTGTCTTTTACGGTCGCCTTTGCGAATATTCCATTTCGGGTCTTAATTGTGTGTGCTTACTCGTGTGGCTATATATCCTTTTGTTCCGGAATCGCATGCGGAACAGCTTAATTGAAATCCACCACATCGACTATATGAGACTTAAATAATATTCCAAATGCAGTGGAAAACAATGGAAGGAGATTAATAGATTTTTTTTTCTTTCGAGTTTACAGCCGCACTAAAACACACCACGCTAATTGTGTACCACAGAACACTTAGCGAATACACAAAGACGGTAAAAAAAAGAGAAAGAGGCTACAAAATCTCTACATTATATACGTGTAAATCTTTCCCTCTCTCTCCCTCTGAAAGTCACCCTCTCACTCTCTCATTCTCTCTTTCTCTATTGCCTAGGCCTTCTGCTCACCGCCTGTACCGTAGATTGTCTCGCTCTTTAAACGATTCAATAAACCAATTGAGATAGACTTAAAACCCGACGCGCGCGGTCTCCCTGGTAATGAATTACAAGTTAATTGGGGTGCAATTTCTCGACAACCGATTTAACATCTCCCTAATTTCCTAACGATCATTTAAGTGCATTGTTCGTGTGGCCTATGTGCATAGGGGGAGTCCCATTGTGTTGCACAACACACCCTTGTACGCGCGCGACGCGCACAATCAACCCCAATCGGACGTCCAAATAGAGCATTAACCCTCCTCCTCCTCCTCCTACAACACTGCCGTCGACGCCGCCGTATCGCTCTACAATGGCCTTCGGGTGCCGAAACTTCCACCGATCTACCAGTTTATTAAACTCCCGTTTTAAGTGTATTGTCAATATTTTAACCTGGCCAATAAAAAAGGGATTTTTCTCTCCCTCTCTCCATATCCGTCGGTATACATATATATAATAAACATACCCTCTTACTTTTAGTTTCCAAGCACACGCGCCGTTAAGCCAAACTAAATTAATTATATAATACGCGATAAACAATCTCCAATGGCCAGTGTGAGTTTGCATGGTATACAGTATTTGGTACTTAGGTAAGTTGGTAGGGAGGTGTAAGTGGTATCTGAAACATAATCGTCTGTAATTGGAGAGAGGAGTAATAATTTATTTATTTGCAGTATATATGCATACTATCTAACATACGTACATGGTATAATTCCAAGTTGTTAGTTAATAAAATTCATAGTTTTAATTTTAATTTATATATATTTTTATCCGTTAAAATAATAAATAGTTTAATGGGCGTATAATATGTATAGGTATGTAACACGGTTTCACTAGAATTGTACTTTTAGGCTTTCTTACTTCTATCAAAAGTATATTTTACTTTTTTTATTAAATGGAGTATTTATTTATTATGTACGTTTACACCAAGAAAATTTCTAAAAACATACTGATAATATAGCTATTATGCAGTAAGTTGAATTAAAATTCAAAAGTTTAATGAAATATAAGAAAACATTAACAGTGTAAGATACACTTTAATAAATAAACCTAAGAAACCTACATTAAATAAAATAAAAAATAGATAGGTATAAAATAAGTTTTTATTTTACTGTAGAATATATTTTATAAAATCGTTCCTGAAATTTAAAATAAAATTTTGTTTTAATAAATAATATTGGTATATTACTTCACTGAACGCAATATTTTACATGTAATTTTTACTGTATTGTATGGGTTGAAAAACATTAATTCGTTAAGTATGGTTAAATTATAATTTCCTAGCACGCTATTCGGTGTTTGTCGTTTGCGCATCATTAGTACTTCAGGTAAGAAATTTGATTGATTGTTTGCGCATCGCGAAAATTAAAAATAAAAAGGTTACCTACTATAGTGACATACATGACCGGATGATACACCAATAACATATAGGTTACAATAATATTAATAAATAATAACTGATGACTTATGAGTCTGAAGTTTAGGAACCACAGTTATAGATTCAAGTGGAAACAAATATTAAAATGAATGAAGAGTCAACCCGTTTAAGAAACAAAGAAATAAAAAATATACAATTCGTAAACGAACATTATTTTAAGTATACGAGTGGGGAAATAAATCGACAACAATTTTTAAGTATAATGGGACACAGGTTTAAACATATTTAGATTATATTTATATTTTAATAATTTTGTATTTTTTTTGTAAATGTAAATAATGATTAATTTATTAGCAATTTATAACGAATTTAATCTCATAAGATGATTAAATAATATGGTAGTATAGGTACGTTCAAAAGTATTAATTTTTTTTTTTTTGTTTTTGAATATTGACGATTTTTTTTGTATACATTTATAGTTTTGTAATTATTGAAATCATAATTTACGTAATAATAATTAATAAAAATTGTTATGTTATATAGGAAAACAATCTAAGCCTTTTTTTAACAATAGCGATGCGCAAACGACCTACAAAAAAGGTAATTGGTAACAATAGCGATGCGCAAACGTTTTACGCCCACACCATTCACCATGATAACCAACATTATTATATCGCATGTAGCATTTCAGTGTGAAATATCATGTTTTTAAGAAATTTTCATTGAATATTATATTTTATAACACTGTGATAAAATTGTTTTTATTATTGACTCTTAATTTAAAATAATATGTATTTCTCTTTTCTCATTAAAATTGTTTAGTCACAATAAAGTACATGTTAGTATTAAATAAATTTGTAATTTTAATACTCAACTATAGATTCAAAATGCATAAATGGCATACATATAATAATAATGTATTTGTTATACATAGGTATGGTTTCAAAATCGTAGAGCTAAATGGAGAAAACGAGAAAAATCAATGGGCAGAGAATCCAATCCATACATACCTGACCACACGTGTGAGTAATCAATAATTTATTATATGTTTATAAAATATTATAAAAATATTATTATTTATTAATACTATATCTAGATGTAGTATATGTATTATAAATATTATGTGAATATAATAAATACAAATTTTATCATTTTATAATCATCAGGTACGTTTTAAACACAATAATAACAGAACATTAACATATTTAAGACGTTATTAAATTCTTAAACAATATTTAATTTTTAATTTTTAATTTTTAATTTTTAAAATCTGAGACTAAATAAACGTATGTTTTATAGTATTTGTGATAACTCTGCCAGAACTATTAAAATATATAGCAACAGTAACGATAGTAAAAAAAAAGTAAAGGTTAGCATACAATTAAATTGATTATAATGGCGAACATTCTTTAACAAAAGTCCTTGTGTGAAAGGAATAAAATAATTATAATCAATTTCAGTCTTTATAAAATATGTGCTTATATTATGATTTCATATAAAACGCGCACCTACTCATAAAATAAATACTATTATAATATAATATATATACATGTGTATTATTATACTATGATAATATAATTGCATTTATCATCAATCAATTTTTTTTTTTTAAGTCATTCGTGTAATTAAATAGGACTTTTGTCTTTTACATAAAATTTCAGTGTCTAAATGGTTTAAAAATTTAAAATATACATATTATTGGTAATACAAAAATACATTATGTAACAAAGCAATATATATACGGCATTATTTTTGAGAACACAATTTAAAATTGATAAAATATCACATTTTTATTCCTAACCTATGGGATTTACAATGAAAAGTTCCTCGTTTATATAATATACATGTATAATATTATTAAATATAAATAAATAAAAATATATTTTAAGATATAAAACAATTAATCTTTTAAAAACATTGACTAATCAAGAAACATTCATATTTATGTATGAAAAAATACTCTTAAAAAATATATTAACTACAAAATTAACTATACTTACCTATACAACAGGTTTTAATGTGGGGTTGTCATATTACCCATCCAGGCATAAGCTCCGTTATATACTCCACTGTTTGTTACTTTGGTTAAGACTTTTTAACTATTAGGCTACTTAAACTGAACTTACGTCTTACATTAAACCAATCGTATTAAAACATTTTAACTCTTAATCAGAAAATATGTTTTCTGTCATATTTTAATTTTGATTGTTTAATCTTCATTCAAAACAAATATTGAAAAAAATAAAAATAATAATAATACTGTTTAGTGATTTTATTTCAAAACTATTACCTATCTCTAAACACATATTATTATCATGTAATTATAGGGCTCGTCTCGTATTTAAATATAAATAAATAAAGTATAATATATTATAATATTATCATATACCAGGATGCCGCCATTAGACGACTTTCCCACGCTCGCCTCCTGATCCCTTATCTGTATTAAATTTGTTTATTGCAAATTGTCATACTTAATAATTTATTTATACATAGTACCTATATCATACGACTTGCTATTGTGTTATCAGTGTTCAGAAACGAATGTCTGTCCGTGGCACCCGCGCTTGGAGGTCCGCTGCCATTCCTCACGCCCGAACAGTTCTGGCCGAGCATCGTGTTCAACCCGGCGGCCGCGTCCGCATTCCTGCTCGGTCTGCCGTGGCACCATCATCACGCCGCTCAGCCGTCGGCCACTGCGACGGCCGCGTCGTACCAGTCATCCGTGCACAAAGCGCTGTCCGAGCGGATCATCTCCGCCAACCAGTGGCCGGCCGTCGCGTTGCAGACGTCGTCGTCCGAACCACACAGCCCGTCGTCCGCGGGCACGTCCAGTCCCGCAGCTCTGTCGCCAGCTCGCGAGCCGTCGGTAGACGCGGCCACGATCGCCGCCGCCGAAAGTCGATCGCCTTACCTGAACGACGACGACGACGACGGCGGCGACGGTGACGAAGACGATGAAGCCGGCAGGTGTTCGCCGTCTGTTTTGATGGAAAACGTTTCCTGTTAATACGTGGAGCTACGGAGGTACATGGCGCATACCCTAAGTTAATACCTGTACATAGGAACCAACCGCTTAAAATAGTTATTATTTCGTTTCGACGTCCTCCCCCCCCTTTTCTCACACAATCATCATTGACCATCTTTCACCAACTTAACAAGTGATTGTTTTTATTTTTTATTTTTATGTATGACGTGAATTTGTATTTAGACCTAAGACTTATGATAATACATACAATCATTATCTGGACGATCGAGTTTTAAAAACAAGAATAAATTATAAGAAATAATTTTACATTATACAAAAGTAATTTTGTAAATCCGTCTACCCGATATTAACCATTATATGTACGATAATAACACTACATTTTTGTAAACATATATATTTTTTTTTTTTTTACTATTTTTTTATTCCAACAAACTAAGTACTAACAATACATCGTTTTGGGAGCGTAGACAACTATACACGCTGAAACCGAATTTTAAAATGTAAATTGTAATATTATAATATAGATTGTTGATATATTATACTATATTAATAGTTGATTTGTTAAAACTCAAATATGGTAAAGTACTACGAGTTCGCTATCGTATCAAACAATAGATATTGGTTTAATGTTTTATACAGATCATATTACTGAAATGTTCAAAACAATTTTCTGTTTCAATAAATGATTAAAGAGAAAATCTTAAATTAATCACTACGGTGTTATGTCTCTATAATGAAAAAAAAAATAGTAAGATATTTGATCTTATAAAAATTTAATGTAATGGTAGTTAATATTTATTTTAAATTATGTTAGGTATTTGTTTTTTTTTTTCATTGTAAAAATGTACATTGTATAATATATTACGATATTACCTATAATATATCTTAGACCCGGGTCAGTCATTCGGTTGTATACCCATAGTACAATTATTATTTTTTAACTACACAAGAAATCAGCATTCTATAAATATATTAATACTAAATCAACTAAAATAATAACAATATTATTATTTAATTATATTGCTGTACAGTACTGAATATTTATCTCACATATAAATATATATCATCCATCATTCTTTCGACGTTTAACTTCGACCGACGCTAATGTTATTACTTATTATAATAATACGTAATAACGCCATGTATTAAACACATTTCCCTCGATCGTTTTGCGAAAGCAAATTAATTTTGACTTAAACAAAGTGCGTTACGAGTAGTTATTCGATTTATTTATAATTGAGTTTGTAAACTAATAATACAAGCAATATATAATAACATATACTTATTAATCGTTTACCATACTATTTGCAGTATGTAATGCGTGCGATAAATATGTATAATAATATTATGTGTATTGTATAATGCGTGTATCACATTAAATTTCACGAGATTATAATAAAGTTTAATGTTCATAGAATTTTTGTAATAAAAGTTATTGTTTTTGCTCGTTACTTAGGTAGAAGATTCTTTATAGAAGTCTGTAAATACCTACTCGTAACCTAGCAACATTGCAGACAAAATATACTATGCGGCATACCGTGAATATCCCGGTGTATATAAGTACATATTTACGTGCGTTCTTAGGGAAGTACAATTTTAAATATTAAACACTTTAGGTGCAATATCCTATTTATTTATGAGTTAAATTTAAATATATTTTGTAAAATTACTTTATATTATAATAGTTATTGTATACATTATACCTAACAATATTATAATTTATACCATAAAGATGCCAAGGTTTTTTATAAGATTGTTCACTGAAACTATTAACCATAATTTTACTGATGTAGGTAGGTACATATTCGACAAAGATAGAAAATATTGTGTAAAACGACGATCATTCTTCTCCAAAATACATATTTTAAAGCAATAGTTTTTATTTTAATTGACATTTTTATTTTGCTCATTAAGTATTGACAACATTTAAAATGTTACCTTTTTTTTTATTGATTAAGGTTATTTACTATAGATACATAAACGTTCAGATGTAAAAAACTAGTTAACTACAAATAAAATCTTCGAGCTGATTGAAACATCCAAAACCACATTTCATATTATGTATACATGCCTACCTTAGTAGTTGTATTAAATGTACTAATATTTGGTACTAAAAAGATGTTAAGACTACCAAATTATTATTTTGTTACCAAACTAGGTACAATAGAATTCTTCTTTTGTTCTTTTATGTAATTAAAAATGTTATATTATTGACCGCTCAATAAAATCAAAATCAAAAAATGTCGTATAAGATGACATATGTACCTATCCATATCCATTTATTGTTTTAAAATATAATGATATATGTTATAATTATAAAGTTAATGTATTACCGATAATATATATTATCTGTTTAATTAAAAATCTCAAAACAATTTATTCAACCGTTGTAAGGCGAAATACAATAATGTAATATTGAAATTTATAAAAAAATTTATGTGGTATTGAAATGACTTATATAGTATTGACCTAATTTAACTTTTAATACATTTTTTTTTTAAGCTTATTGTTCAAATTGTATTTGGTTGTGTTACGCTTTGTCACTATATTTGCTGTTGACAAATATAAAATAATATTATTTTGATATTTTCCAAAACAACTCTATAATAAAGGTAAATAATAATATCTACCTATATTGTATATTTCCTATTTAATAATATAATTTATAAGTATATAATATTGTATTGTGATATGTTGTACCTACTCCATATTCATATCCGAAGAGATGTGTGTGTATTATCTGTGTATGATCAGCATATTATATTATGTTTAAATTAGCGTAAAAATACTGAAGAGTACCTATAAATTATATTAAACGAAGAAATGTGCATTTCTGTTATTTTCTTGAATGTAATTTAAAGTATTAAATAATATGTACCAAATACCATATAAGTATGTTAATACAAGATTAAATAACGAAATTTAAGCATTCCAGATCAATAATTCGTATAACATGTTTATAGTGAGACTACTGAGAGGGGATAGTAAACTGCTTTCCTTGTCTGCAACTTTATCATCAATATTTGTTCATTATCATAATATTATTTGGATAACATTGTATACATTAAAGAGGCATTATAATGTGCTTAATGTTATATTTGGAAATTATAATCGTATTATTCTATCGTCATTAAGTCTAAAACATCTAAGAGCACGTTTTCGAATTTGAGAAAGATAAGATTGCAGACATATTAATATAAGCCACAGAGTAGGTACAGCTAAAGTGTTAGGCCTACGGTTCTATGCAAACTCTACAAGATATTCATATTAAAAACAATATATTATAATTAATAAGTTGTAAATTATGATCGATTCTTAATTCTATATTCCGAAGCAAAATATTATCCAGAACATTTCGGTCTATAAAAGTCGAATTTTCAGACAAACAGTGTATTAGTTACGTTTAATAAATATTTAATTTTTTAATGAGTTGAGTATAGTGGGTGAGTATTTTTTGGGGTAGGTACCCTTGTACCACTTTACTTCACTTAAGATAATTTATAAATTATTACTATTAAACCACCTATTCAACATTTGATTTTGATATAATGAAGTACTCCGAATTATATTTTGTTTCAAAATATAAAACAAAGAATCAAAGTTATAAATGTTATTATTAAAAAGTATAAATAATTATTACGATGTTAAACAAAAGAAATAATTTCAAAAACGTTAATTTTTTTTCAGAAATAATGAATGTTTTACATTAAATGATAGGTTATACTATACGTATTAATAAGTTCATTTGTAAATTGATAATACTCATAAATTCCCACAAATATGGTAGAAAATACGGTTTTTGTCATTTTAATAGTAAGCATATATTAGTTAGTAATTTAGTTCATTACTTATTATTATTAACACATCGTATGGCTTAAGTTTATCACTTTATTATCTATAACTATGAGATAAATAAAGCCTATATATTCATTATTTTATAATCTATGCGTAGGCCCCGGTGGCAGTAAAAAACAAATAGCACAAACTGTGGCTCCTGGCACTGATAATAATACGTAATTAGGCTCCACCCATCGACCGACAGGCGACAGCGCTCAAATTTCGTGAGAAGACTATTGTAGAAAAGTTATGAATATTGTAATCGTCTGTTGTCAGATAACAACACGCATTAAATTGCCAGTACGTGGCTCACAATTCACACGTTCGGTTTTTTGTGTGTTAATACAATTAGCTATTAGCTGTAGTATAATATTACTTAATTACCACATCATAAATTCAGCTTACTTTTTCGCTGTAATATTATTTATCTACTTAGACAGTAGAACTGTAGATCTCTAATCATAATAGGTACATCGACTACATTATACATTTATTGGAAATTCAATTACCGATTTCATCTATAGGAACGAAACCACAGATTTAAAACCGTAGGTAAGTATCAAATAATAATTTAATTGTTAATATATTTTAAAATAATGCGTGTTGTTTGATAAAATAATTTCTTTATATACACATACACCATACACGTCATGTTCAACATTTTTATTAAATGTTTGGTCATTTATATTTTATAATATATGCTAACTAAGCCCAAGCCATATATCATTATATTTGAAAAAAACAAATACTCTATATTTAAACTCTATCCATGTAGGTACTGTATCTACGAATAACTTTTTACTTATACACTATAGTTACTGTACCTATAAGTATATATACAGAATATATTTTCAATGATTTTCTTATTGAGCATAAAGAAACTGAAAAATCTATTACTTCTTACTTTTAATTAGACATTGCTGAACAAAAATATGGCATGAAAAACTAAATGAATCGTAAATTCCCTAAACTAGCCATAAATGATTTATGTTTATTTTGCTTTGTTTTATTTATATTTTATAGACATTAGATATTTCCTAATTATTTAAAAAACTATACATTAATATTTTTGTCAGCACAGATTCCTAAGATAAAATGTTAATTCAGTTAGGCAAACATGTTTTAGAATCGTTTCAATAATTAACATTGTTGGAAATTTATAGAAAAATGGTTATTGATCCTGAAAATGTTCTTATGTATGCTCTCAAAAATAAAAAATAAAAATTGATATACATACTTATAGTAAAAATGTCAATTAATTATATTTAAATATAAGAGAATAATATTTGTATAGGTTTAACGTCCATTCGGTTATAATTTAAAGAGTGGGGATATGACTTTATGTTCCCGCTATACTTTGAAATTAATTATTCTATTTCCCTAAATTAAAAAGGATACCACTGAATGATCTTTTGTATAAATATATATACATATATATAAATGAAAAATGTTTATATTTAATTGAATATATAAACGATAATATTATTTACTAGGTAGATTAAATTTGTCAACTTACACTATGGCAACAAAATGGGGAATACTAAGTGCTTCCAAAATCTCTCACGATTTTGTCCTAGCTTTAGAAACATTATCAGTTGAAGATCATAAAGTTGTAGCTGTGGCTGCAAAAGATAAATCTAGGGCTAAAGATTTTGCGGTTGATTTTAAAATTCCTACTTATTACGGTTCTTACGAAGAGCTTGGCAATGATATTAATGTCGGTACGTATATTATTTATAATACTTTTTACCTTTATGATCGTGACATAATTAATATTTTAATACATTTGTGATTTATTTATATATGTAAAACAACGTTTCTATGTGTTTTAGCACAAAAATATATTATAAAAATTAAAAACATATATTAACTAGGACGCTACACCCACATTTGTTTTCTTTGTCTTATACAACTGTACATAAGGTATTTTGTGAATATATATTTTTTTTCAGTAGTTCGCGTTTAATTTTTATAGTAACTTATAGGGCTTATTAGTAATTTGTAATTCTATATAGAAAATTGACTCATTAGTCAATTATTTCAATTTAAAGTAAAAAAAAAACATTTTACCTGGATTCTGTTGGAATTGTTTTATTTTATTTTTTAATTTTGAAACATTTTTAATATTTAAAATTTAATTTTTAACTATAATTAAAAATAGTAAAAATGTAATCTTTCTACAAATTCAACAGATCTTAGATAATTTTGTTGAAATTAAAATAATTACACGTTCATTTTTAAATGTAAAATTCTACGAGTATGATACACTTTACACAGTATATATATATGCTTATAAGATGGAGACAACAAAAGCAGGTGGTCCTTATAAATATTAAATAAATAATTTATAATAATTAATTTGTTTTATGTATAATATAAAAAAGACGTTGTTTATATTGGTGCTCTTAACCATCAGCATTATTCATTGACAAAATTAATGCTCGAAAGTGGTAAACACGTATTATGTGAAAAACCGTTTTGTATTAATGCCAAACAACTCGATGAATTAATAAAAGTAAGTAATCATAATTATAAAAATCTACTCAAATAACAGTTTGAAACTCTAAAAATAATGTATGAAATATTGGGTTCCTTGCATAGTTATCAAAAACCAAACAGTTATTTTTAATGGAAGCTATGTGGAGTCGTTTTACGCCGGCCTATCAAAAAGTAGTAGAAGAAGTGCAAAATGGAACTATTGGTACAGTCTTACACGTGCAGGCCAATTTTGGTAGACAAATGTCAAACATCGAAAGAATTTGGTAAAATAATAAATGCATGAATGGCAACCCTTTTAATAGATACTCTAATTATTTCTAGATTTAGCAACGTGCAACAATTGCAATTATTATATTTTATACTTGTAATGAGTGGCTGTATTTTTATGATTTCTAATTTTAATAAATTTCCATAACGTCCAATAATTATACATTTTAATGATATTATAAAACATGTATTGTTATTTATCGTATTTTTTTTTTTTATTGTGTAATGTACTTATCATATCTGAATTTTGAATATTTAAATCATAAACATAACCGCATAATTTAAGATAATGAATTGCATGCTATATAATTGACTATAATATTTATTAGGTATGATAATATAAATCATAAAGTATTATTTTTATGGAGTGAATATTTTTGTCTGAACTATCAAAGTCAATAGGTAAACTAAAATATATAATACCATATTTACGTGTTATGTGTCGTATGTTTTAGGAAAAAAGAAGTGGGAGGAGGCTCAATACTTGATATTGGTGTTTATACGCTACATTTAATTGATACAATACTTGGGCCTGGCAAACCTGTATCCATAGAAAGTAAAGGAACATTAAATATTCATGGCACTGATGAAAATATGTCTGCTATTCTCGAGTATCCCGAAGGAAAAATAGCTGTCATTTCGACACATACTAAAGTGGTAATGGATTGTTCAGCTTACATACATGGAACTAAGGGCACAATCAAGGTAAAACCTGCGGCATGCCAAACGCAATAGACATTATAGATCTCTAAATAATACTTAATTTATGGTAGTATAATATAATATGCATATGTAATTTATAAATGTACGAAAGGGAGAGAGGAGACTCATTATAAGTTTCTTAAATTAAATGAATTACTCTGTAAAATATATACTTACGACCTACTATTTACAAACCTAGACGGGATATACGACAAAATTAATAATTGTAGATTTATAACAATTTTGTAAAAAATAGAAAAAAATTGAAAATTATAAAAAAATAAGGTTATATGATTATATTTTTACCCCATATTGAGATATACGATTACATATTATTTATTTATCAGATTTATGAAAAATAGTAAACATACGATAATAAAAAAAAAAAAAAATCAAATTTAATATATTTTTATTTTTTCCCTAATTTTGGTTTTAAAACACAAGCTGATAGATCAAAATTATTTGAAAAAATCATATTAAAAATAGGAGTTAACATAAAATAAATTAAATTAAATTGTGTTGTTGTGCATGCGGAAAATACATGAGTTAAAGAAATTGTAAGTTATAATAATATAAGTTCATTAGTCTAGTTTGATGTACCGCAAATAGAATTGAAAAATATTTACAGAGTAATGAGTGATAAAGTGTACCCTTTTTTTTGCGGACATGCGGTTTATTTAAGACCCACTTATTGTAACTTGCAAATGCTTCTTAAAAAAATCATATTAATTATATTTTATTTTAGATTCACGAACCATTTCACGCTTCAAAAGAAGTAACAGTTAATACGACCAAGTTTACATTTGAACAACCAGATACAAGAAAACCCACACTATTTCCTAGTAGTGTTCAGTTGCGTTACGAAATAGATCATGTCAGGCATTGTTTAAAGAAAGGTTTGAATATTTTTAAATTTTATACATACCGATCAAATTTAATAATTTTGTCAAAAATGCTTAGTGATTTTTATTGTTTTTTTTTTTTATTAGGTTTGATTGAATCCCCAGTTGTTACTCTAAATAATAGTTATACCGTACAAGAAATAATGGATCGACTTAGAAATCAAATTGGTGTACACTTTGAAGATGATTATAATACTTCTTCGTAATTTGTTGAAATACATATAAATCACTATAAAATATATATTTAATTTAAAGCACGTTTTATAATGCCTATATAAGTATTAATTAATTAAATACCTAATTTTATTTTCCTATTAACTGAACTATTTTTTGAAAATTATCAATCGAGTATAAATAAATTATAATTAAACTAACAGAGTCAACAAATAAATGTCTATAAACAAAAACCAGTTTTTTGAAAATTGTTTAATTTTTAAAACATGCTAACATACTTGTATCATTTTTTTTCGAAAAACCTTTTTTCTTGACAATAAATTATTTCAATTAACTTTCGAAAATACAATTGTGATGTAATAGATAATCAAGAATTTCTTTTCCTATGACATTGTGTACATATAACCACATATTATATATAAAATGTGTTATAGAATCATTAAATAATATAAAAATGAAAGTACTTGGATATATTACACTGTCACCATATATTATATTAATATTTAATACATTAATTCTATTTTTTTTTTAATAAATCATGTTTATTTAAGAATTTTATTACAGCAAACTGTTCAGTAATGCTAAATATGCGTAAGTGAATTTGTATTGTATGTACGAGTAACTAGTTAGTAGGTATACATAGAAACCTATACACAAATAGGTACATTTGTCATTTTCTTTTAATATAGAAAAAATTAATTAAAAAATCGCTACCAGTGCAGTGTGAACAGGGCAGCAGTTTATTGTTACCGCCACTCACCACAACCGGCACTAGCGACTACGTGGTAGCCGGTAGGTATATATAACACTAAACAGCTACTATGTAGGTACCTACTAGCAACTATATAGGTAGCGTAGTAAAGTGTATTTAAGATTTAATAGTAAGAACAGATTAAGACAGGATTTCTATCTTAGTGTGTGATTATCATAAACATAAGTAACTACACATTAACTAGTTCTAATTTCTATGAAAATTTTAAACCCATATTACAGAATAGGATGTACATATATCTTAAATCGTGGTTTTATACGTTTTAACGTTTATTATGGATTCATACAACGTACAATAAACATATTAAGTAGGTTTATAAATTAATAAGACGTAGTAAATACGCACCTATATTATGTATAATACAAAATTTAATGTATAATATCATTTTAACGATCGTACATTTCTGTCGTCACTTCCTGACTTCCTGTTTCGGTTATTTCCCGTCATCTTATCAGCTATCAGTAGCTGATGGATCGTCTAATGAGGACGTCGTACCCGCATGTGTTGTCTCCGTCTTACACACGTACGATATAGTAAATTCTCGTTCATCAGTTTCAATAGTGTGCTTTTAGTTTTGATATTTGAGTGAATTGACCTATTATCAAAGTTTTAGGTAAGAACATTATTTGTGTTCTCTTGTTGGTTTTTTACGATATTTTAATTTTTAAGTGAATTATGATCATTTTCAAATATTTATATTTTTCATATTCGTAACTCACTTCAAAATTAAAATATCGTAAAAAACCAATGAGAGAACACATGTAATGTTCTTCGTTCTTCCCTAAAAATTTAATAACAGGTCAATTCACTCTAATATCAAAACTAAAACCACACTATTAAAACTTGTGAACAATGTGAACAATGTGAACGAGAATTTACTATACCGTACGTGTGTAAAACGGAGACAACACATGCGGGTGCAACCTTTTCTATGGCGATGTTCTCTTAAACCGTACCCATGTTTATATTATCTATGGTTCATAACAAGTATTAACAACTCCGTTATCATTGTACTACTTATTTTATTTGATCGTACCAAACGTCCTGATAACATACACAATTTGTCGACGTTAATATTATAATTTTATTATCCAATAGTATAATATTATTACAATTTTATAAATGGTTCAATGGTTGTAGATGTTCTAGTGCAGTGGAGTGGAGTTTAATCATACCAGTTATGTCAACTTTAAACGTTCGTCGGTTATGAATTGCAAGTGGGATTTATGTGTTTGACGCATCTTGTGTTTTGTTCATCCTAGTCCACCTATAACTATGTACTTTCCGTTAGGCTGGCCAAAAGTTTTGGCTTCAGCACACGCTGCTGGTAGTCTTGTCCAAGTGATATGTAACAGAGACAAAATTCTATTTGCTTTACTTTCCATTGAACGATTGGAAATATGGTTTTGCAAGGTAAACTATAAAATTTCTTAACTAATGTTAATGCACCTCATCGTCTATATTAGGTTAGTCATATTTGTTCTGAGCCAATTCGATAGTTTGTAAATTTTTTGACATACAAAATGTCTTTTAATATTTACTTCAAGGTATTAGTGTTACCTTTGAAAACTGAAATAATATGTATCTAATGAATAAACAAACAATTTTATAGTAAGATCTTATTAACAAAATATCATCATTAAATATAGCATGTCAAAATGTATGCATTATTTTTACCTGACAATTTTTTTCTTAGAACGGGTATTAGATTTTTTTAGGATTTTTAAATGTAAATTTTTATTATTTTGTAAAATATAATAATTAACTAATAATTCTTTAGAAAATATCTCTTTATAAATAGGTCAATGGTTTTCAAATAATTATTAGTTATAGATTTTCAAAAGCATCATATAACTATCAGAATAGTAATAAATCATTATCTATTCATTTGAATCAATTAAATTAAAAATTATCATCAATATATATTATGCATGTTAACATAAAAAAAAAAAAAAAAAATATTAATAATACGACTGACAAAACTTAAATTTATTAAATTATTGTAGTCATACTTGCACTTATATACTTTTAAATAAGTGTAATATCTAAGATCTTGCTAGTTTGCTATGTTCATATATATTTATTATTATTATTATTAGAAGAGGGTAAGTAAAAGTTTTATTGGTTATAAAAGTCAGAAATATAATTTATACTAAACATTTTGTAAAGTTACTTTCTATATTTAAGTAGAATTATTTTCAAGATAAATATACATTTTATAATATAATTTACAATTTTAGATTATGTGTGAAATCACATTTTTAAAATATTTAAATTACTTTTATTTATTGCCTATTAGATATACCATTTCTATGATTAGTCGGTATTTACAACAATAATATACTTTAATTTATACTATTATATAGTTAATAACTTAATAGATGGGATTATTTTTTTGTCAAAAATTAACTTAACCTAATATACTATTAATAGTAAAATAAATTACTATAATATATCAATAAATACATTCAATAAAATATACTTAGTGTAAAGTAACAAATTCTTCCAACTCAGAATAATTTTTTGTGTGTAATGATTTATAGTACTTATTAGATAACACAAGTATAAACGATTTTACTAAACAATTAACTAATAATATAATAACTCTATTGGTTATTTTTTTTATCCATATTTTTCGAAATATTTTCCAACTTTGAATCAAAATATTTTAAAAATTAATTATTAAAATATTTCATTACCAAGATATAATAACTGATAAATTATATAATAAAATAATTAGTTATCATATTATTTTGATACTTTAGTGTATCATTGTTTTATGTATGCATATATTATTCTTTTATTAATTTAACATGTTATACTTGTATACTATTCAAGTAGTACCTACTTAATTTTTAAATATTAGTATTAATAATTATTTGTGTTAATAGTATAATTTAAATAGAAGAATGAATTATTTTTAAAAAATTATAATAATCTAACAAACATCTTTAATAGCCATGTGTGAAAATCACCTCATATACAAGATCTCCTCAGAGCCTTGATGAAATAGGTTTTAATCGACGTGTAGAATGGAGACCAGATTCCAGTATGTTGGTCATAGTGGTTAGTATTTATTTTATTTTCTAATTATTTAATAACTACTATCTAAAATAAATTGAATTGTGTTGTAGACTACAAAAGGTTATTTAATATTTTACAATTTGAGCATTATTGGTGATCCTGGAAGTTTATATCATTTAGAAGATTCACATATCTCTAGTTTAAAAAGAGAAAATGATGAGCTATTTGTGAAGGAGACCATACCATCTTTACATATTAAACAAGTAATATAATATAATATATTTAATTTAAATAAGTAATATATTAATTCTATTTGTTTAAATGGTATAGAATCAAATTGCTTGTGTTGATGGTAGTGTTGAATGTATGGCTTGTATTCGCGATGAGTTAATGGTGTCCACTTGTAAAGGACATATATTACGATATCACTGGAATGGTTCTATTAATCGAGATTACTGTTTAGATCTTCGTAGAACACCATTTTCTATTGATCTACATGTTTCTAATGGTAAATAATTAATTAGTTACTAAATTTCAATGTGTAAATAATATTTGTTATTTTTAATTTGTGTTTAAATTTTACAGCTGCACCATTAACTAGCAAAGATACTTTTATTGTTGATATGGAATACTCTCCATTAGTTGGAGGTTTTGGAATTATTTTGAATGATGGACGTGCAGCATTACTTACAGCATCATCTTTAAAATTTGATCCTAATGTAAGATATACTTGAAAATTAAAATATAAAAATATTTAAAAATAACATTATATTTAATTTTATCAAAATAGCAAGTCCAAGGTATTTGGGCTCCTAATATTGATACTGCTACATGTACAAGTTTGAATCACAAGTATAGATTGATTGCATATGGACTAAAAAAGTTAGTTAATTAATTAAATTTTGAAATAATTATTCAACATTTGCATTTTGAAATTGTAGTTCCCAGGGCATAGTATTTGGTCTTGATGAACGTACTGGAGGATTACAATTATCTCACAATCTTGTGATTCCCAGTCAAGTATGGCCAGGTGGAGGATTAGGTTCTGTGAGGTGTACTCGATGGACGCCAGATGGTTGTGCTTTAGTAATGGCTTGGGAGAATGGTGGCTTTGCTGTATGGAGTACTTTTGGAGCTCTATTAGTTTGTTCATTGGCATGGAACTTCAGTGTAAACATTGATTTAAGCTCTAGAAATCCACTAAATATTATTTCTATGGAATGGTGTATTGAAGGCTATCAATTGTGGATGATTAATGGAGCCTCTAAAGATACACATGATGATACAGTACTACAAATGCCAT